TTTTCCACTTGAAAATCCATTTGGATCCAACAGGTTTACATCCCAGAGGAAGATCCACTAGTTCCCATGTATGATTTTGCAGGATGGAGGCAACTTCATTCTTAATAGCCTATTTCCAAAAAGGTCAGTCTGAAGATCTCACAACTTCTTAAAATATTTGAGGTTCATCTTCTAATAGATAAGTTAGAAAATTTGGACCAAAGGATTTTATTGTCCTTTTTCTTTTGCTACGTCTAGGTCCATTTTTAACTTCTTGACTATTTTCAACCATAGTCTCATATGTTCGTTCAGACGAACTTGATCCTTCTTTGGATCTACGTGGAAATACATGTTTTAAGAAAGATTCATTTCTAGATTCCATTATCGTGTTCTCGTATATGTCTGGGATTTTGGACTCATGCACAAGAAATCGATAAACACTACTATTATTTGCATAGCCAATGAAGATGCAATCAATTGTTTTTGGACCTATTTTCACTTTCTTTGGTGTCAAAACTGCTACTTTGGCAAGACACCCCACACTCGCAAGTATTTATAGGAAGGTTTCATTCCTTTCCATAATTCATAAGGGGTTTTGTCTTCCTTTTTTCGGGGTATCTTATTTAAAAGATAATTAGCCGACAACATAGCTTCCCCCCACATGTTTTAAGACAACCCATAACTTATTAGCATTGCATTCATCATTTCTTTCAAAGTATGATTCTTTCGCTTAGCAATTCCATTTGACTGAGGTAGATAAGATGTTGTGGTTTTGTGTATAATTTCGTGTTGTGCATAGAAATCATGGAACGGTGATTCATACTCACCGCCCTGATCACTTCGTAACACCTTTATTTTTTTATTGAGTTGATTCTTAACTTCATTCTTATAAAGAATAAACTTATCAATAGCTTCATCCTTGCTTTTAGTAAATACACATAACATATCTTGTGCTATCATCAATAAAAGTAATAAAATACTTATTGCCATCCCTTGTTTGTACAAACTTCAGGTCACAAATATCACTATGAATTAAATCAAGAGGATTTGTGATTCTTTCAATACTATTAAATGATGGCCTTGTCAATTTTGCCTCAACACAAGTTTCACACTTATGTTTGGAATCAATTTGGAAACTAGGTATGTGATTTAAGTTAATTAATTTACGCAAAGTATTATAATTAATGTCTCCTAGTCTACCATGCCACACATAGGAAGACTCAAGCAAATAAGCATAAGAAATTCTCTTATTATTGCTATTATGTTTTACAACACAAACATTGAGCTTAAACAACCCATCACTCACATAACCCCTTCCAACATACATCCCATTCTTTGACAAAACTACTTTGTCTGACTCAAGAACTATACGGAAACCATGCTTGTTCAGCAGAGAACCAGACACTAGGTACTTATGGATTTTTAGCACATACAGAACATTGTTTAGAGTTAGCTCTTTCCTAGATGTCATCTTTAAGACCACCCTTCCTTGGCCTTTAATCTTAGAAGTAGCTAAATTTCCCATGTACAACTTTTCTCCATTCTCATTTGGTTCAAAGGAATTAAATAATCCTTTGTCTGAGCAGATATGCCGAGTGGCTCCAGTGTCAAGCCACCATTCTCTTGGGTTAGACCCAACCAGATTCACTTATGAAACCACCGCAGAGAAACTTATGTTGGAGACATCCTGAGTAATATTCTCCATAACATTTGCCTCTTTGATTCGGTTTCTCCTTGGCAATCTACAATCAGAAGTTTTGTGATCCATCTTGTCTCAATTAAAACACTTGCCTTGGAACTTTTTTGGCTTTTTAGAGATGCCTCCTTTCGGGCCCAGCTTGGCCTTTTTCCCTATCTTCTTAGAGTTAGAACTCTGACCATGCTCCATAACATTTGCTTTTGCCACTGTAGGAGTAAACCCTCTATTTTCAGAACTTCTGTTGTCTTCTTCAATCCAAAGTCTAACAATGAGTTTTTCAAGGTTCATCTCCTTTCGCTTGTGCTTAAGATAGTTCTTGAAATCTTTCCATACGGGAGGTAACTTCTCAATAATCGTAGCTACTTGGAAAGTTTCACTTAGCACCATCCCTTCCAAATGAATTTCATGTAAAATCAACTGGATCTCTTGCACTTGGATGATAACAGCTATTGAGTCCACTATTTTATAATCGAGGAATCATCCAACCACAAACTTTTTGGACCCAACATCCTTAGTTTTATATTTACGGTCTAAAGACTCCTATAATTCTTTGGTCGTTTTCTTCGAAGCGTACATACTGTGCAATGAATCTGTCCGAAAATTCATGACATAATTTCAGCACAAAAATTCAGAATGTTTCCAAGCATCAACAACATTGATAACTTGAACATCGTGCTCATTTTCTTTGAGCATAGGAGCATCCTCAGTCAAGAATCTCGCAAGATTCAGGGTGGTTAGATAAAAAAAATCTTTTGCTGCCACCTCTTGAAATGCATTCCAATGGTTTTTTTTGGTTTTTCCGTATGGTTCATAAGAACAAAGGCTGGTGTCACATGAGTTGGTGTGGGAGCTACAACTTGGTTCGACACATCATTAGGGTTTGATTCAGATGTCATTTTTTGAAAAATCCAAACCAAAAAATTATTGTGCGAATTTTTTGAATAGTAGTCAATAAATAATTCCCAGGAAACACTGGTGGGGTCACAAACAATTCCTCTTAAAATCCAGTCTCCTTAGACAGAATTTCTCTAAATTGTACTGTTCAAATTTCACCACTACACTTTTACTGCACAAGGATGACAACCTTTGGGAATATCAAAATCCAATGTTTTAAACAAAAAAAAAAAAAAAAAAAAAAAAAAAAAGGAACTACGGTTACTAATAAAATCAAATCTGTTTTAAGATTGTTATAAAATAATCAACTATTATATTAGTGATTGCCAATAATAAACCCATTGAATATAAAAACAATAGAATTAAATGTCAATAAAATAAAATGACAATACAATAAAATTAACAATACCAATAACGTGATCACGTGTAGAAAATCCTTCAAAATGACAAGAAGAGTCCGGAGAATGCAACCTTAGGATGAATGCTGAGGTTTGTGTAATACACAGTTTCCTTAAAACAGATTCGCCTCCCTCACTTGAGTGCATAAGATTTGAGTAGCGTCTGTTTCCTAGCATACAACGACAGATGAATAAGCAAGAGAAGCACCACTCTTCTATTCTAACAAATTAAATTAAACTCTAGCTTCAACAAATGAAAACCTTAAAAACTAGTAAGAAAATGAGAGATTAAATTTTTTTTTGGTGTGTTTGAAATGAGAGAAAAAACACATTTTTATACTATTCAAGGTTGGACAAAACATTGAATTCTACCATTTCCACTTTCTACTTTTCAATTCTTAAAACCTCCTTCATTAATCCATTAACATTTCATCTTTCAAATTCTCAACTTACACCACCACTTTTATTCTATTTATTTCATTCAATTTATTAAAATATTCCAATAGTTTATAATATCTCCACGCAAAGATATATATATATATATATATAAAACCAAAATTACAATTTCTAACACGTTGACCAATCAAAATTATAGGCTTCGTTTGGTTGGATTTTGGGAATACTACTTTTAGTATTCCCAAAAAAGTTAAACAGTAAAATACCCAAAAACTCACAATATTATTCAACTTTATTCAACATTTTTTAAACCCCCTAAATTTATTAATTCAATTAAATACCCCTAAATATTTTTAATGTTTTTGTTACGGCGACTCCGACCACCCTCCGGCGGTGGTGGCCGGCTGTCCATATTTGAGGGTGGATTAGGGGTGTTTTTGTTAACTTTTAATGTTTTATTATAAGGGGTGTTTTGTAAAAAAATAAACATAGGGGGTATTTTATGAGTTTGTAAATCCTACATCGTAATACCCGCCCAATTCAACTTTTTTTTAACTTTTTTCAAAAAACTTTTCCCAAAAACACAAAATTGTGAACCAAACGGAGCAATAATGTTTAACAGTTTAAGTAAAGATTCTCTCTACATGTAAATTAAGGACATGTCTCATGTATAATGTAAATTTTGTATACATAGACACCATTATATATAATTCATTGTTCTTAATTTTTCAATCTAATACTCATGATGCCTTCAATTAATTTCATCTCAACACCATCGGGTTGAAATTAATCAATAACTCTATCCTGGCGCCTATTACGACATTAAGGTTGTCCATTTCAATAATACCTTGACCAATGATTTTTTTTTTTTCTTTTAATTTGAAAAGCTGTCCATTTCAAGGTGGATGAAAATTCAGATGAAAAGGAAGCAAGCACGATTGTAAATAAATTAATTGATAGATATTGATTACAGGTTAGGGCAAAAGGGTCACGAGACAACTAAGAGCTTTTTCTTGATTAAATTAATAACACAACCAAGGATGAATAACATTTTCACCCACGCTATCATAAAAGAATATTCCCCCCTTGGTTTCAGAAACACCCGTATTACCTCCAAATTTCGAATTCAAGTGTTAAACTTAACCAATATAGAACGAAAAACCTAATATGATATTACAAATTGACAAGATTACCCTTTCATGATTAAGTTTTAAATGTCTAAATTCAACGAGGGATGGGGGGATTGTTCTTCCATAGATTGGGGGTCAAATGTTATGGCCACACACCTAAATTATTAAAATTTGATTTTGAAACTCAAGCTTCGCTGGCGCCCAAGCTATAGCTTCATATGTTTTGGTTGGCAGAAGGGCTCACATGTATGAAGTTTTCTTTTCTTTCCATCACTCAAATTAAAAAAGAAAAAAAAAAAAAAAAATTCAAGAAGATTCAAGCGATCAACCTACCTTAAAAAAAGATGATGATGGGTTTTGCTTTTCTTATCATCTTCACGATCCTCTCTTTTTTTCTCTGAACTTAACTAATTTGCAAACTTTTATTTCTTCTGTAAAGAAGAAGAAGAAGAAGAAGATGGAAGTGCCTATCAATATGAAGAGAAGAAACTTGCTTAGGTATTGTTCTTGGAGATAGTGGGTATGTTTTCTGTTTCTTTTTTTTTTTTTTGTTTTTTTTTTTTTTTGGTGTTATGTTTTTGGTTTGATGATGAACTTCTTGCTGCTTTTGCAAATTTGATTATCCTTTCAGGGTGGGAAAGACTTCATTGATGAATCAGTATCCTCTATTTATCATTATTGTTTTTTTTTTCCCCTAAATTCAAAAATCTCTGACCTCGCTTTGCAAACCCGAATCCGAAATGTGTATCCTGTCTATTGTCCTGTAGTAAACGTTTTGATTTCTTTTGGTTGGTTTTTGAAAGTTGAGTTTGAACTTGCTATAATATCTAGTTTGGTTGTGTTTTAGAGAGTATTGTTCATGTTTTAGTTTCCGGTTTCCTGGAACTTAATTAGAATGTAAGCAAAACTTATACTATTTTAAGTTTTCCATTTTATATTACAACCTGAACCCGTTGTAGCCCATTTCTTTTGTGTATACTATCTAAAAGAACTTATCTATTAATTTGTACTTTGGAATTCTGATACTACTTAATAGGAGTTCTTCTCTGATATATGGAGATATTATTTTCTTAAATCCGAACCACTATTTATTACTGTAAGTTAATCAGATTGAAATTTTGTATTTTAATGTTAACCGACAGTTAGTAAAACAATGGTCTTGAAAATTTTCAATCATTTGGATTATAGTGTTTGTTATTTATATATTTGTTTAATCACTGTCTTTCTTCTGTCACCCATTTGTTTTTATACATAAATATAACATTAATTTGAAAACCCAGAAAGCTTAATGCATAGTTGGTGACATTAAAAAACACAAATTAAGAAGTATTAATTGGCTGGTGGTGTTTTTCCAATTAATTAATGGCAAGAAGAAGAAGAAGAAGAAGATAAAGACAGAGATATATGGCATGTGATTGCCTGATTTGGCGATTGATATTAGGTTAAATTATTGAAAGATTATATATGGCACTAGCTTACAAGAAGTGCTTTTATTAAAGCACTTAAATAGATAAAATAGCTATACCTAAAAAGTTACTTTTGAAGAAACATTTAATATTTTGCAAAAAAAAAAGGGTCCTTTTGTGGATAAGATTGTAGTTGAGAATCACTCTCAAAAATATGTTTCATGTTGGGATCTCTTGTTGCTTTTTCTAAAGTAGAGTCTACAGATTTAAAGTAGATTGGAGTATTTAGTATTTACGGGTTAAAGTATAATATTTAACAAATGAGAGGGACCGAAGAAAATCAATTCTAGAAATTACATTTGAGGAGGTTAAAGTGTAAAGTTCACGCCAAATAGTTGTCAAAGAAAGTGAAGTTTATATTTTTTATGCAAAATTTGAAAATTCTGCTGGACCCTGGGTGGCCACCACCAAGTCTGTAGGGTCAACCACTGACAGATTAGGGTTTGGTTTTACCTAACCATGTAAATCTGATATTTTTTTAATGTACTTTAATTGGTTTATGTTTGTTTTTCTTACTAAATTGGGCATAGATGGCTTCGTTTATTCTTAACTAGTTATTTAGATATGTATACAATAAGTTCAGCCAACAATACAAAGCTACAATTGGTGCTGATTTTGTCACAAAGGAGCTACAAATTGATGACAAATTGGTCACTTTGCAAGTAAGTTTCATTGTTATGCAAATTAAACAAACTCTTAGTATTAACTATTAAGTTTCTTTTATGGTTCATATATATACGTGAAAATTCTTAGCTACGAACATCTAGGCCCGATTGGTTTATTATTTCATACCCTATTCCCAATCCTATTATCAAAATAACTGTTTGTTTCATTATTTAGGAAATACTATTATATTTTATTCAATTGCTTTTAGATCCATTAAGTTTATTAATTTAATTAAACATTCCCAGAAAAAAGTATAAAAATTAACAAAAACACCCCACCCACCCATAGTTGCTAGATTTTGGCAACCACCATCGGTGGTAGCCTGAATCTATTACAACGGCGTACAAACGACTGGAACTGGTCGGTAATTTGCCGATCTAGGTGTACAACCGACCGAAACTGGTCGGTAATTTGCCGATCTGGCCATCGCTGGTGGCCATATCTTTGGCTATCGCTGACGGCCATATCTGACCTTTTGCAACCATTGACGACCAGATCTGACCATTGGCCGTCGCTGACAGCCAGATCGACACACGACCGACCAGATCCGACCGGTCTGCATCATAACGTCAGATTCTGACTAGATTCCGGTGGTAGTGGTCGGAATCTGGCACTGTGGGTCGGTGGGTGTGGTGTTTTTGTTATTTTACAAAATTTTTATATATTGGGGTGTTTAGTTAAATTAGCAAACCTAGGGGGTTTTTTTGTTAATTTTTAAATTTTACCTCTCAATAATCGCCCTACTCAACTACTCAATACTATTTCCAAAATCCTATCCAAAATAACAAACCAAACGGACCCTTGATATTTTAAAATTCATACTTGTGTAAGAAATCTGAAAAAAGAAAAAAAATTTGGTCTTTTAAAACATTTATGCTAGTAAGATGATGGTTTGGATTTTAAAAGAATTAGGGTTTCGATTGTTTCGCTTTTGGGAATACTATTATTAGTATTCTTAAAAAAGTTAAACAGTAAAATGTCATTATTCCCAAAATATTATTTTATATTTTTTAATTTCTTTTACACTTCCTAAATTTGTTAATTTAACTAAACACCCCCAAATATTTTTTTTTAGAAATTGCAAAAACACTCCGGCCACCCTCCAGCGGTGGTGGCCGGTTGTCCGTATTTAATGGGTGGGTTGGGGGTATTTTTGTTAACTTTTAATATTTTATTATAGGAGTGTTTAGTAAATAAATAAACATAGGAGATATTTTTGTTAGTTTCCAAATCCTACATCGTAATACCCGCCCAATTTAACTTTTTCAAAAAATTATTCTAAAAACTATCAAATAATAAACCAAACGGAGCCTAGGACTTTCACAAAAGACAATTAATATATATGCATGTATTTATTAATTTTATCAACAGATTTGGGACACAGCAGGCCAGGAAAGGTTTCAAAGTCTAGGGGCTGCGTTTTATAGAGGGGCAGATTGCTGTGTTCTTGTTTATGATGTAAATGTTCTCAAATCCTTCGAATTGCTTCATAATTGGCGCGAAGAATTTCTCAAACAGGTTTCTTTATGTTTCTATTTCTTTACTTTTTTAGGATTATATTCAAAAAACTGTTTTTGCCAACATTTCAATCAAACACGTTTTCACAGGATCCCTCGTTTTGAAAATGAAAAACTATATTTAGATTCTACATCAAACTAACACTAAAGAATCTAAAAGACACCTTATAAAACTCTCTTTAATTATGCTAATCTCTAATAATTATATTTAGTACTCATTTTTTTTTATCTTACTAAATGTTTAAACAGTTGTTCTTTACTGTAGACGATTTCATTTTTATTTTAAATTTAGGTGTTTATTCCTGATGGCAAGAATACATTAAACACAATTTTTTTTTTTTTTTTCTGTTCCCTAACATGAGAGAATTGATTGAACTTTGATCTTTTAGTGTATTCTTATTATCAAGAATAGGCGTTCAAAAATAGTCGGAACATTCGCAGTTGAGAATTTTCGATATGTTTTACAAAATTAAGTTTTGATGTGCAATTTGTTACTATTGACCAGGCAGATCCAGCTGATCCTGAGTCATTTCCCTTTGTAATACTTGGAAACAAGATTGACATTGATGGAGGAAACAGCAGAGTGGTATGAAAATTGAAAATAAGTCCATTTTAATTTGCATCTCAAAAATAATGATATTAAATTTGTTCTTAATTTGTCACTCAAGCTATATAATTTATTTCTATAATTTTGTGAAGGTTCCTGAGAAAAAAGCCATTGAATGGTGTGCTTCAAAAGGAAACATGCCTTATTTTGAGACCTCAGCAAAAGAAGATTACAACATTGATGAAGCATTCCTTTGTGTTGCCAAAATTGGTCTTGCCAATGAAAACCAACAAGACATGTAAGTAATAATTTTTCAAATTTACTTTTACCACTCCTTTACTTGGTCTATCACGACTCGTTCGCTTGAGATTATTGATTTTTTAGTATTGTATGTTGAAAAATTCTAAGCGTCGATCTGACGAGTGTGGTAACAAAGTTAAGTGAATGTAGACCTATCATATTTTACATCATTAGTATATGAGAGTTGGGATTGGTTTATAAGCTTTAGTTTTCTCAACTACATAAACAAGTTTTGGGTGAACGACGATTCAAACCTAAACCAAATTTGTGAGCGGAAAGAGTGCTATCGTTTGGGCTTAGGCTGTTAGAAAATATGAGCTTGATATTTGACAAATGCAATAGTATATCAAAGTTGAGATTGTTTTATAAGCTTTGAGTTCCCTTTAACTAAGTAGACATGTTTTAGAATTCCAAGTTAGCACCCTCGAAGATTTTGACAAGAGTTACTCTTTGGAGAGTATAGTACGATGAAAGTTGTAAACTATGTCGGAGGGAGTTATTGTCAATCATTGACCTCTATTATAAAATTAGTTGGGGCCTAAGAGGCGATGATTTACCTTGTGACATATGTTAGCAGTGCGACTTCACTTATCTACAACTCGTTAACTTAGCCGATACAAAGCTATATGAATATGATAGTGTCCAATTTTCCTAATTTGCCAATTTGATCTATCATTTATCATTCATGGATATTAACAATACCTTTCCATCTAGCAACACCTTAGGATGAGATAGCATTTGCGTAAAACCCAAAAACGTATCCATGAGCATAATAAAAATACTGTCTGCTGTTTAGAAAGAGTAATATCTACTTGGTTGGACTCGAACAGCTATAATATCGACTATTTTTATTTTATTGGTTTTGTTTGAGACTGATTAAATAGCCTTTGTATTTGCAGATATTTCCAGGGCATTTCTGAAACTGTTTCTGAAGTTGAGCAAAGAGGAGGCTGTGCATGCTGAAGTACAAATTCCTTGCCTAATTAAATATTGAACCCATTTCTAATTTTCTTGTTTTTTAATTAATTCTTTCATTATATTAATTCCCCCTCCTATTATTATCATTATTATTAGTATTATTTTGGGAGGATTAATTAATTAATCTCTTGTATAGTACCATTTATAAAATACTTGCATTGGTACTTTTAATCATTTAATGTGTTTATTTTGTTTGAACAGATTACAACTTCGACAAACTTATAAAATTATATTTATTTTCTCTCTTTATAATATGTTAATGTTAGAATGTGAATTTCGTTTATCAATGTCGTTAGTATTAACTAGCATCCATAATTGTATAAAATAAATTTTAATTAAACTTTCTAGTGTGAAAAACGGTTATCTAATATTGTTAAACAGGGAAACCAAATTTTAAAAGAATACAAATGTTTGGATTTAAGAATTTTCATACTTATATACCCTATTCTGAAATCCAGACCGGCCTGACCAGTTTAGCTAGTTGGACCAAGACCCGAGGCCTTCTTTGGGTCGGGTTATCGCTTTCCACTATTTCAACCCAATTACAACGGTATATGTGAGTCACGACTCACGACTGGCAAACGAGGGACTACCAAGTACTGCGATTAGAGAGATTTTGTAGAGTGGAAATCGATGGTTCAGGTGGTGGTGTCGGATTGAATTTTGGTCGTTGGAATCAGTCATAATTTAGCCAAGAAAATTGGAACCCTAACTATTATAGGGGTTTATTTACTATATTTCAAATTTATAAGAACTGAGGTTATTTATTAGGGGTGTATTTGTTAGTTTTTAAACTTACTAGATCACAGATTAGATCGTTGATTTAACCGGTCAACCCGAGACTCAACCTCTTGGTTGGGTGACACCTCGGATCCGGTTTCAGAATACTACTTATATATACTTAAAAGTGATTATGAAATGACATGTTTGTATAATAGTCAATAGATGAGAGCTCAAATATATTTTTATGCCACTATAACGGATTGAAAGATAAACAATTATTAGATTATATTAATACCACTTAACGACATTTATAAAATAAAAATTTCAACTCATTTTTATTTGACGTGGAATTTTATTACCGAACCGATTTGAAACATTTGTATATCAATTTTTTTTAATTAAAATCCAAATTAAAAAAAAAATGTAAGTTTCATGAGGCAAAACTCATGTATAAATGTGATAGTTTAATATTTTTAACTAACATAATTTTTTTTATAATTTTTAAAAATAATTTAATTGAATTATTAATTAATTTGAAAAAAAACCCAACAGATTGAAGACAAATCAGCAACTCAAAGTATCTTCTATCAATGCAATTTTAGCCTCAAAAATACAAAAATAAAAAAAAAACAAAAAAAATATGAAACTCCTCAACCGTCCGATCTATCTCCACGAGTCAACCAAGCCTCGTTGAAAATTTTAACGGTCAGTGTCTTGCCATCTCAACCACCAACTTCCAGTTTTATTTTGCCAAAAATAAACTGTGAAACACATTGTTCATTTCCGTTCTCTCCAATGGCGTTCTCTACAGTGACTTCGCGTAGCCCCGCTCTTCTTCGCCTTCCCAACCACTCGCCGTCAGTCTCCGGACCTCAAGGCCCAGCTTCTCTCCGGTTCTCAAGACCGAATCTTGGCCGTCGATTATCAATTTCAGTTCGATCGTCATCGACTCCAGGTACGTATTCATTTTTTTTTGAAATTTCAAATATAATTTTATCGTTTTGATTTTATTTATAGAAAGATCAATCGGTCCTTTAATTTATTTATTGAAAACTAATGAGCCTCTTCCTTGAGTAATTTTATTTTTTCTTAATTTATGTTTGCAATATTGATTGCGTCATTAAACTGTAATTTGATTTTTTTTGCTTAATTAGGATCACTTTTAGCTAAGCAATTTTCTTTTCAGAAAATCAGTCGTTTAATTTTTTAATTAATAAATAATCGTCTATTTAAATAAGTAATTTTATTGTAATTATTTTTATTAATTTAATTAATTTTTATCATATTTTAGTAATTGGACGTATAATAAAGCAGCAAATTGCAATTATTTGACGCTTAATTAGGATTGCTTTGAATTAAGAAACTTTGTTTTGAGTAATTTTGTTAAAAAGAGAGAGTAATTTAGAATATTAGAGCTAATTTAGTATTTTATATTTATTTATTTTTGAAATATTATCGATAATCTGATTAGTTGTGTAATTTTAGCTGTAACTTGAAAATTTTTGAAGCTTGATGAGGATATTTTTTGTTAATTAAATTTACATTTTAATATGATTTTAATTTCGTAATGAGCCGATCTTATGTTTCAGTTGCGGTGCCTCCCGCGGAGGGGTTAAGTCCTGCGATTTCAGTGACGGAGAATGCGCTGAAGCATTTGAATAAAATGAGGTTTGAGCGTAGTGAGGATTTGTGCTTAAGAATTGGAGTTAAACAGGGAGGATGCTCGGGCATGTCATACACGATGGAGTTTGAGAGCAAGGCGAATGCGAGACCAGATGATTCAGTTATGGAATATGATGGTTTTGTGATTGGTAAGTAGTTTGATTCTTTGTTTCTGTTGTGTATTGAGTATAGTTGTTTTGGGGTTTGTGCTAGTTTTTGCTTGGTTGTGTGGGTGTGTTGTTCTATGACATGATGTATGTGTTAGTGGCACATTTCCTTTGAGTAGAGCTTGTATTTTGTGGAAGTAGCATTTAGGATTGTAGAGTGTTATGAAAATTTTTCAATTAAACAGCTATTTGAGGTTGTGGAGAGTTTGGTGGTGTAATTTAACTTTAAAGGTCGATACTATTTGAGGGTCATTGACATTTTTAAGTAAAAGAGAAATGAGATCTAGAAGAGTTAAGAAGTCCAAACTTTTGAGGTTTTCTCAGTGGAGATAAAACAACTTTTTAGAAAGCTGTAATCAAAATAAGAACAAGAAATAAAAATAACTTCTAAAATTTAAAAACTCGTTTGACAAAAAGATAAGCCATAGTGAATGGGCACTTAGGATATGAACTCTTCTCGATATCATAAGTACTATTATGCATATGTGAGTATGTGTTTATGTTTGCTTGTGCCTCCTTATCTTTCTCATTTGCTCTTGTGGACTTCTTTTGGAGACTTGTCTATTGAACTAATTAATGTGTCATCAATTTTAAATTTAGATATTTTCTTTAGAGAATGATATTGGGGATTATTAGGAATGTTTAGAATGGTACATATCTGAGATTGACATGTATTGGAAAATTTGAGTTATCCATATTTGAGAGGACAATCGTGGGGATAGTTAGGGAAAATTATAGTGGAACTGATTAGAGATAAAAATTTTGGTCTCTGATATGGGGGTTGCGTGGTTAGTAAAGCAGCACTGATCTTCCCCGTTCACGGCTTTTAAATTTGAAGTTAGAATAGAAGTTCACTGATTGTGTAACATCTGCTTCCCTTAACTTTGAAAGACAGAAATGAGTAGTGGTTAATTGATATTAGCAAGTCAGTGTTTTAACCGTGGCAAGTTAGGGGTTATAAACTGGTTTATATGTCACCCATTTCTTCAAATGGTTAACATAACTTGAACAATATAACATTATTAAATGAATAAGTGAATTTCGTTTATCAAATGACTCATCATAGCTTGTGTAATTTGTTAATGAACGGTTCTTATAAATCGAATGGTGTGACAATGCCATTTATTCCATTTGGTCCACTTAACATGTTTTTGCAAATTCAACTTGTTCACCTAGTTAAAGGAATTCAACCATTCTAATTCAATTACATATTCAACTCTTTTTTATTAAGAAAAAAAAAAAGTAAGTTAATGATCAGAAAAAGAATGTTTCTCGATCATTATAAAGATAAAAAAGATGTGTAACATTTCTGGCACTGTTGTTTTTATTTTCCTCTCTCTACTGTAATTGTATGACTTATTCATATGTCCCATCTTCAATGGTTGCAGTTTGTGATCCGAAAAGCCTCCTCTTTCTGTTTGGAATGCAATTGGATTACAGTGATGCTCTCATCGGTGGAGGCTTCTCTTTCAAGAACCCAAACGCCACGCAAACTTGCGGTTGTGGTAAATCCTTTGCAGCAGAGATGTGAAATTATATATACAAAAACAATTTAAATATTGAACAGATCACGAGTAGATTGTGTAAAAAAGAAACTCTTAAAATTATGTAGTATAATTACATGATTTTAATATTTCTGCTGCATTTCAAATTTCCATTGGGTTCTGCTAACTTCCGAACTCACTTTACATTATTGGCCGAGTTCCATTCTCGCATGATTTGATGAATAGGTTAGATGAGACCTTCTCGGCATGTTCATAAAAACAGGTTTATTAAATCTGTAAAAACTTAGTAGAACTCAGATCAAGAGAGGATCTTGAATCTTCTATTAGCCGTTATATATATATGAATGCTTTGATGTTATTTACTCTTTTCGTGGACGAGCGTACTAAGTTATTCCTAGGTCCAAGAAGTTCTTAACACATGCATTCATTTTGAAACTTACTAATCATGGTGGTGTTGATTATATAAATGAGAATGTGGATGCTCAAGTTTCTGCTTCCTCGATGAAATGTCTCGGTAGAAGACCACTTCTTAGAATCGAGGTTTATTCGTTTTTGAGAAAGTACGTAACTCAACAAATTTTTTTCTTATTTGGCCAATTACTAACGAATCAAGATAACTATTTGTTCCAGTTGAAATAGTCATTATCTATTCTTCATCCGTGCGATGGACTGATTGATTGAGATTGTTCGAGCAACTCATGTAATCATCGACCCTTTACCAATTTATTCTAAGTAGCTTTAACTAGATTAGAAGCAAATTGTTGACAAAGAAACTGAGCTACTTAAACAATGAAACTTGAAATTAAAGAGACAAAATCAAGCTTTAATTTTTAAAACACCATCTTCTTGTTCATTTGGTATGCTTCTTTATGTAGCACGCGCCGCAACTTCTTCTTCCTCCCCGGCTTTCATCTTGGGCGTTTGCTTTGATGGTTTCACTCCGGTGCTGCCTTCTGAGTCACGGTCTGCCACTGCACGTGGCTGTTTCTCGCCTTCATGATCACTAGACACAGAATCAGGTTGCCGGGAACAATTAACCCAAAATTTTAGATCCATTTTGAGACTAGTTTGCGGGCAACAATTACCCATATTTTTGAGATGTATTTTGATGTGTCTGTGTTTCTACATTACTGCTTCTTCCTGCCTTTATATAAAAATTAAATTCCTCAATGTGTCACAGTGGGAAAGCAATGCTTTAAACTCAATATTCTCCGAAAACGTCTTCCGAAAGTGTTTTCTTTTGGATTTCCAGCTCTCGTGTTGCATGTTAGTGTATATATTCTGCACAGTAAAGTTGTTCCAAGATTCTTCATTAGCCATTGATTTGAAGCAGAACCATTTATTATAAGTATATATATATATATGCCAAATGAGTGATCAATATCATAGAATAAGAATATAAACAAGAACGATTTCATCAAGTTCGAACCTGTAAATGAACAAAAATAGACATACGTCATAAACTCATTAGAACATTACGTAAGTTAAGATCATGAGAAAATCCGATTGAGTATATAATATATGCTGGATTAGCTTCCAGAGAGGACTTTCATAACCCTAGCTTCTTGATAACTGCTCAATTCTGAAGAAAGCTCTTTAGTTTTTGAACTCTGTTTTAGAAACCTTCGTTGATATTCATTTCAAAAACCGCTCTAGCAATTTATTTAAAACCTCTCTTCATGAGGTTATCGGAAAAAAATGTATTCGACGAATTAATTAATAATCTTATCACATCAACCATCTACCTTATGACTCGTAAGAACTTTCAACACTTAAAATATAAGTATATATAGGTCGATATTTTATTAGATGGATAAACAGATGATGTGATACAATCGTTGCACTCGCGACTTTCTTGTGTATATTGTATATCAAACTGTATATATAATAGTTCAAATCATAAATCCATCAACCCATTTCAATTGTTTTTCTTTTGCACAAAGTTTCTGTGCTTCGCTTATTCATTAACAGAGTAAAGATAAGAGCGATTTTTCTCTTTATATTATCCAGAAAATATGCCATTAAGCAGCATACTTTAACATAAAGATCCTGAGAGGAATAAAGCAGAAGAGTACTTTTCCCATTAACTTTGAAGTTTATGCTATAACTAAGTATAAAGTTACATTAAATAATATGCTCCTTAACTCCTTTAGCCTCTGTTCTGAGTTCAAAACTGGAGTCTCCACCGAACCCTGTTCATTTCATTCCATTCCATTCTCAAGCAGGAATTTTAATTTTCTTTGACAATGGAAACTTTTGCAGGATCTAACCTTGTTCTAAGCTTCTAGCATTGATTTAATTTTCGATTTTCTTCGCCGTTTCACTACTCCTGCTTATCATCTTGGATGTAACATCCCATATCCACTTCCTCCGGTGGGGTTTTGAGACTTACGTTCTTATCTGTTGTCCTACCCATTTCCTATGGTAGCACTCGGATGAAATTCTTGGTTCGAACCAAGGGGCCGGGGATGTGCTCTGAGCCTCACCATGGAAGGTGATTAAGAGACAAATTCAAACCCCACCATAGGAAGTAGGTATGATAGTACATAGGAACATAACACTAAAGTCTCACAGGAAGAAGTTTTTGGAGATTAAACTAAGCTTATTTAGTTTAGGGTTTGTCTAGTTTTGTTGGCCTTGTTAAAGTAATACTTATCATAGTTTGTGATAAACTCCTATATCTGAGAAGAAAATAATGTGAGTTTTTCTTCTTTCACTCTTGTTAGCTTGATTTATTTTGGCATATATTAATAATTTCTAACAGAAATACATATGAGATGTTACATTGGAGATCTAGCTGCTAACAATTATTCATTTTCTCCAAGGCTTGCATTGCCTTTTCCTTTCCTTTCACTTGCCTGTTCAACATTGCTGCTTCTAACACCATTTCTTTCACTCTTTTCTTCCTTCAAAACACCATCTTCTTGTTCACCTGGAATCCTGACCACGTTCGCCGATTCACAAGGCGTGGTAAGCTTTTCGTTCCCGGCTTCAATCTTTGTCGCGGGCGTCGAATTTCCATTAAAGCATCCAGGACAAATCTTCTGACAAAACCTTCTAAACCAATTTGGCTCAGAATGTTTTGTTTCAGGATCACTTCCCGAAACTTGGCCTGCAATATCACCAGTTGACTGTTGTTGGACTCCACAACGCAGGCAACAAGAAGCCATATTTTGAGATAATGCTGTGCTTCTGGATAATTTGGTTCTGATCTTATATAAGAATTTGATAAATTACCCTCATGTATCACGTTCAAAAAACTAGTGCTTAAGGAATGTTGTAAAGAAACGTGTATATATATATTTTCAAAATCGCTAGCTCTAGAATTCTATATATTAGTGCATTCTGAACTGTAAAGTTGTGCCAAAATTCTTCCTCATCAATTGTTTAAATTTCTTGCATGATATTATATGTTCTCACATTTTTTAGACTGATTGAGATAGACTAAACTAATCAGAGAACTATATTAAAGAATATATGCCGATGAGCGATCAATTTTTCATCATAGAATAAGAACATAAACCAACTATTTTTCTTTCAAATTACATTAAAAGTTTTTAGAAATTGAATTATAATCAGTTCTTTGAAATCATTTCAGAAACTTCTCTGGGATTGTATATTAATATTCTCTTGCAGGAAGGTTATTCACAGTTTTCAAACCCCTATATGCAAAAATTAAACACCGACTGTCACATCCTACATCGCTAGTGAGTAGAGCCTAAGTTCATTGTCATAAGTACAAAAACTAATCCGTGCAAGTCTAAGCTCAAAGCAAACAATATTTGGTTAGACATGGGATGTGCCATCCAAAGCAGCATTACTTGCCTGGACACGGGATATAACAATAGGTAGTAGAGCGGGTTCTTCATCTGATGGTGCAGTGTGTTTTGCACATCACTAGTGAATGTAGTTTGGAGACGCTTGTGTGAAGCTAAAAAACAAATTCATACGGGCTTGAACTTGCTAGCAACTGGAGCCTATAAATGCTTACGTGAAGTCCAAAAGCAAATCTCGTTAGTGTTTATGACTAGAATTATTATATAGATGGCTAAGCAAATAACATCATGGTAAAATGTCTAACTATAGTTGTGATAGAAACCCACTCCCAAATTAATATGAATTGGCTGGACAGTGGGCTTTTGATAGGAATTGCGTTGATCATTATGTCTTTTGTGAGTTTAGATAGAACTTTCATTGGAAAACCAGCTTACCATGGGAGGGTGTATAAGCCATTTATAACCCACATGCCCACCATTTTTCCTTCTAATGTGGATCCTAACAATTTGTAATATCCCACGTTTCTTAGAAAAGAGAGGTGAAGGCTTGTTAAATCGCCCGTGAGCTCTTAGGCTATGAAGATGCATTTTTGGTTGCAAAGCCCAAAGGCAAAACCATGATAGACTATATGTCCAAAATGTAAGTATATATAGATTCAAATTTTATTAGATGGATAAACAAATAACGTGATACAATTGTTGCACTCACGACTTTCTTGTATATATTGTATATCAAACTATATATAGTAATTCAAATCATAAATCCATCAACCCATTTCAATTGTTTTTGTTTTGCACAAAGTTTCTGTTCTTCGCTTATATATGTATGAACAGAGTAAAGATAAGTGCGGTTTTTCTCTTTATATTATTCAGAAAATGTGCCATTAAGCAGCATACTTTAACATAAATATCCTGAAAGGAATAAAGCAGAAGTGTACTTTTCCCATTAACTTTGAAGTTTATGCTATAACTAAGTTACATTAAATAATATGCTCCTGTAGCCTCTGTTCTGAGTTCAAAATTGGAACCTCCACCGAACGCTGTTCATTTCACCCCATTCTCAAGCAGGAATTTTGATTTTCTTTGACAATGGAAACTTTTGCAGGATCTAACCTTGTTCTAAGGTTCTAGCATTGATTTAATTATCGATTTTCTTCGCCGTTTCACTACTCCTGGTTATCACCTTGGATGTAACATCCCATATCCACTTCCTCCGGTGGGGTTTTGAGACTTGCGTTCGTATGTATTGTCCTACCCATTTCGGTAGGACTCGGATGAAATTCTGGATACGTTCTGAGCCCCACCATGGAAGGTGAGCAAGAGACAAATCTAAACCCCACCATAAGAAGTGGATAGGACAGTACATAGGAACGTAAAACTAAAGCCTCTCAGGATGAAGTTGTTGGA